GAGTGTGAATAGAAACACTCTACTCCCTGCATGAGAACATAGTAACATTCATTGGTATGTAGGCATGTTCTACAGGGACTTTGCTGACTTCAACAGCCTCCTTTATAGGGAGGGCTACCTTTCCTGGAACTGAAGATTGCAGAATGACCAGCGGTTTCTCGGCATTCATGTGGATAAACTCAACTTGACGCACACAGCTGCAGACAGTCTCCTTAGAAGGTTCTCTGGAACTGGAAAAGATGAGTCAGGGATCATGGAATCATCAGGTGAAGAGTATAATGGGGTGGAGGAACAGGAACCCCTTCCTAAGTTAATGGTTATTCCTCCTGCTGTATTGGTATTTCTGCTTCTGCCACATCAGCCTGTACCTCCTTTCCAGGTAGGGCTGATGGTAAACAACCATATGGTTCAGTGATCTGTGTCGAGTGAATTGTTTACCCGGATCTCAAAGAATATGGGGTACTCCACAGATGCCAGTGTGGAAATGAGTACAGCATCAAAGGCCAGTGGGCACTGTGTGCCAAACACCCTGTCTCCAGAATGATCTTGGTACTGATAATGGTTCTTCAAAGGGGATCTAGAGGATTCGCAAGACTAGGCTCTGCGAGAGGATGGAGAAGATGATGCTGATCCTGACCTCGAGTATAATGAGCGCCCAAATAGCCTGCTGATAACGGTGGAGCAATCCCTACAGTCCAGTGCTGCATCAGAATTTTGGCCAGTACTGAAGATTGCACTGTCACTAATCAGGTACTCAAATTGTAACCACGTTCAGCACTGGGAAAAACATCAATTCCAGGATCACTGTCAGTGCCGAAGGGGAAATCTGTGTCAGATCGGGAGCTGGTTACATAGATGTTGAGCAGGTTAACAAAGTGCTAGGTACCAAAAACAGCATTGGTACCATAGATGGAAGCTTGCCTCTCTCGTAGACCCCTAAGAAACAACTGACACAGTGTGTGCTGGGACTGACAGGACCTGAGATGTCCATACCCAACTCAATGGCAGTTCAGCAGACAGTGCTGGGTTGACATATGGTCTGATATTGCATTGACACCAGAAAGAAGGTAGAGCGCCCTGCTCTAAGTCACCAGGAGAAGTATGGTGACATTCCCTGTGGTGTGTAGAAAAGGGGTAAGAATTTCTTTGAGCCTTGGAATGGCTCAGATTTGCTTTGTGTCCTCTTCCTCAGAAGAAGGGGATTGATCCCTTCTTCTCTGCAGAGGAGTCTATCTCAGGCAGCCTCTCACGGTCTGCATAAGCTTTAAAGACTGATGGGGCTGATAGTCCACAGCAGCAGCCCCTGAAGCAGAGTCTGGCCCATGGCTTGCTCCATGAGATTCTGTTTTAGTGTAAGTCTCAGGTCACCTGAATCCTGTTTAAAGGAGCAACATTGCTACACACAACAAACAGCATGTGGGGGGGTGCGTGTGTTCATTATTGGGAATAGCCACCCCACAGTGAGTGCTTTTAAACCCTGGTGAGGGCATAGTACTATATAACATGGAGACTAAAGCTAGCTAACAACTATAGGATCCTAACTATTTAAAAATCCTCATTCTAAAAACATGAGGAAAAATACCATATGGGAGGCTCTGACTCTAGCTGCAGGAGGTGAGACAGAGTGTAAGCGTCGCTCCTATAGGTACTGCTAACTTGGGTATACTGAGTGCATGTACCCTGTATGGAATAAATGTCTGCAACCACAGCAGCCTGGACAAAAGCAACACTGGGTGAAATGTGCCCAGTCTCTTTCCTACCAGGAAGAACACCCAAAAAAAATTCCTCAGGAAAAGTAACACTGGCCTTCACGGACTGCTTTCTAGTTCAGGGAAAGGTGGAAAGATAAGATGGATGCAGCAGGAGAACTTGAAAATCAATGGGGAATGACTGTTTTGAGAACCTATCAAATGCAGTTTTTTTTTTAAAATTTGATTTAGAAGCCTTAAACTGAAAAAAAAGTTCTGCTATTTTTATGGGAAAATAGGGTAATCTCAGGTTGGTTTGAGAGGTTTTTTTCTTCTTACCTTTTTTGGTCACAGTACATAAAGGCATCTTATTGAAGTGTTGAACTAACCATGTCAGAAATAGGAAAGATACCATCAATCCACTGGGGTACCCTTCTCTGTTGCACAGATTCTGATGCTTTTGCTGGTGCTCTTGTATGTGATTTGCCCCTTAAAAGTGGGAATACCATTTTAAAAAACGTTACAGAGGCTAAGGAGCAGGGGAAGAGCAGAGCTGGGTGTGAGTAATCGTGTTTGAGGTCTCTTGCTCATACAGTCATCCTCTAAACTTTAAAAGCCTCGCTGAAGTAGTTTTCCAGCTGTGCAACACCATGGTGCACTCTCCTCCCTCCAGCTAACATTTTAGTGCACATAGCCATTAACCTTGTTGGAGAGGGCAGGCCAATGATATGAACTAGAAACTTCCGCATCCAAACATCACTTGGATGAAAGCTCCTACTGGGTAAAACAGCAAGTAAAACAGCAAGCTCAGCTGATCTGGCATATGTGACGGGTTGGATCACAGAAATCCCTTTAGGACTGCCACCTGATGTGCCTAGACTACTTCTGAATCCATTTTCCCTGCCAGCTTGGGACTTCAGTACCTTGCCTTGTTTGAGCCAGACATGCTTGTCTGCTGCAAACACAGATCCAAGTCTGAACCACATCCCCCACAAGCTGCAGGCTTAACTGAAAACAGCTTAAGACGAGCTCCTGTCTTCAGCACTCAGATATCCAGCTCCCAGTGGGGTCCAAACCCCAAATAAATCCATTTTACTCTGTATAAAGCTTATAGAGGGTAAACTCAAAGTGTTTGTGCGCTCTAACACAGAGATGCACCGCTGTTTGCCCCCCCCAGATATTAATACATACTCTGGGTTTATTAATTAGCAAAAAGTGATTTTACTAAATACAAAAAGTAGGATTTAAGTGGTTCCAAGTAATAACAGACAGAACAAAGTAAATTACCAAACAAAATAAAACATGCAAGTCTAAGCCTAATACACTAGGAAACTAAATGCAGGCAAATCTCACCCTCGGAGATGTTCCAATAAGCTTCTTTGACGTGGAGTAGGCCGCACTTAAGGGAGCACAGAAACAAGGGTCAACTGACATGAGCATGCCCATAGTATGGGCTAGACATGCTGCTGAGGAACACAGTGAAAGGAGTGGAAAGTGTCAGGTGTCTCAGGGAGCAGAGGGGGAACAGAATCACTGCACAAAACCCTCAGGTTGTCCTGATGTATTTAGGGTTTTTGTTGTTGTTGGTTTTATAAACTGTGGCTTAGATGTCCATGGTGTTGGCAGAGAGAGGGAACTGGAGTTCAGACCAGGCAGCACCACAACTAGGATTAGCTAATGCCCTTTCTGGAACAACTGGGGCAAAGCACCTGGTTGCTGTGGGCAGGCTGAAAGGAGCGGGGCATTGTCCTTTGTGTTCTTCCTGCCCCTTTGACGTACCAGCCTCTTGGAGACATTCTTGGATACCATATTTCACCCCAGGCCGAAGGGGAAAAAATAGCCAAGGACCTCCAGCTTGTTGCTTCCTAAAGGCCAGACCTTGCTGAATTTCTGCTCCCAAGTAGCTCCTGCTGGAGTCAACCCTTGTTGCTGTTTCATTTTGGGCTAAAACACCAAGTAGCCAGAAAAACAACTTTCTTGGAGATTATGTGAAGCAAGATGTTTCTGCTGAATTTCTGCCCTAAATAGCATAAGGCTTGCTTGCCACATTGCCATATAGTGGAGTGGGGGAGGTGGCATACTACTGCACAGCTGGGCCATGAACAGGAGCCTGTTGGATCCTAACTGGTCCTGCTACACTGGTTTTCTCATCCAATACTGGTTTCCTGCAAACTCATGTTCTCAAAAATTCTCTCCCGACCAGGAGGCACTAAGCAGAGAGGAACAAATATAAACTATAACAGAAAAAAATCTGCTCATCCACAGAGAGGGGAAGCCTAAAGCAGTGGTTTTCAAATTTTTTTCTGGCAACCTAGTTGAAAAAAATTGATGCCTGTGACCCAACAGAGCTGGGAATGAGGGGTTTGGGGGTGTGGGAGGGGCTCAGGGCTGGGGCAGAGGGTTGGGGTGTGGGAGGCATCAGGGCTCTGAGGTGGGGCTGGGGGATGAGGGGTAGGGGGCCTCAGGGCTAGGGCAGGGGATTACCTCGGGCAGCTCCCAGTCAGCAGCGCAGCAGGGGTGTTAAGGCAGGCTTCCTACCTGTCCTGGCACTGCAGAGTGCCCCAAACGCGGTCAGCAGCAGGTCCAGCTCCAAGGTGCATAAGTGGCTCGCATGGCTCTTGCCCGTGGGCACCACCCCTAGCTCCCATTGGCTGGTTCCTGGCCAATGGCAGTGCAGAGCTGGTGCTCAGGGCAGGGGCAGTGCTTAGAGCCCCGTGGTCCCCGGCCTAGGAGACGGACCTGCTGCTGGCTGCTTCCAGGGTGCAGCGCAGCGTCAGAACAGGTAGCGACCAGCCTGCCTCAGCTGGGTAGCACCACCAACAGGACTTTTATGGCCCGGTCAGCTGTGCTAACCAGAGCCGCCGCGACCCAGTACTAGGTTGTGATCTGCAGTTTGAAAACCACTTGCCTGGAGGAACTACCTGCTAAAGTGGAGGTGAAATAGTGGGGATTTGAAGGTAATCAGTTCTCTGAACAGCTCTACCTGCTAGCAGTACATTGTAAAGCAACAGGTGTTTTTAAAGACTTGCTTGGAAAATGAGGGAGCACCGATTGTCCACAAGCCAAAATAAATTGGTTAGTCTCTAAAGTGCCACAAGTACTCCTTTAAGGAGTACAGTGTAACTCACTGCACAACAGAAGGCAGGATCTTTGGTTACAAGACCCAAATAGAAGAGCTTCCAGCTGGACCAATACTACTTGTGTGTCGCTTAATATGTGATGCTTGAAATAATGTGTTTAAAAATAATACAAGAAGGATTTTAATATAGCTGTACATAATTTTTTTTTTAATTCAAGTTATCTGTTTTGCAGGGACTTCATGTGTGGACTGTGCAAAGAGAAAGTTAGGAGAAAATGACCTGGATCTTTCTAAGAGAGTCAAACAAGCACCTAATGGTATTCTCACCCCCTAATAAATAAAATCTTAAAACTCCAAGATGCTTAAAAACAATCTCTGAAAAGTTTTCAGAGCTAATTATTTCTAGGGCTAAAGTGGATTAAAAAGTTCATAATCTCTCAGTACATTTCCAGGGGGTGTAAGTGGTTGCAAGCCAGTTTAAATACCTAACTGGATTAGGTAATAGTCAGTTTATTACGAATCTATGAGTGACTTATTTACAACTTCTTTTTTTTTGGTTCTCGTCAGTTGATACCTCTGCTGATGACCTGGGCGTTGTAAAGAAGTTTGAAACCCAAGTGCAGGGCAACTGCGCAGGACCGCTGGACGGGGAAACAGAGAACTGGGCTCTCACTACTCCAGAATTTCAGTGACTTTCTCTACCTGGCATTGACTGTAACAGGCCTGCTTCCTGGCAACAACAACAATTTGGAATGGCATTAAGAGTTTACCTTCACACACCGTAGTAGGCTGCTGCTCTTAGCAATTTTTTTTCTCTCCCAAAGTGAACTAGTCTCAGTCAAGAGCAGGGAGTAGCTGGGGGTAGAACGTGAGCTAAAAGCTGTTAGGTTACAGTCAGAATGTTAGCTTCTAAGGTTAAAGTAAAAGTTTGAAAAATATAGACAAGGATTCATTTCCACACCACCAGAAAAAGGCAGTGTTAAGTATACCTAAACTAAAAGTTAGAGAAGGGTGGGGTTTAAACACTTGAAAGTGAAACTGGCACAGCCTATAAAGAGACACTTTAAGTAGAAAGTAAGGTTGAAATTAATTTATTTTTAAAGAACTGCAAACAAGTATAGCACCTTGTGTGTCTGTTGTTATTCAGACAACTTGTTTGCATGTTTTATTTCTTCCCCACCCACCCCCTTTTTCCATCTACTTTCTTATTCCTGGTTCCTCTTCCAAGCTGCTCTATGCCCCTGCACCTTTCACTGAGTCGGTTAAGCTCCATATGCCCAGAGGGCTGTCGGCACAAAGCTACTTACAGGATCTGAACCTTGAACTATAAGCTCCTTGGAGCATGCACCATCTTCATGTTTTATAAAGCCCAAATACCTGACCTATACAACTGTACTATGAATATTTCAGTTTTCACTTGTCATCTGGTACCTTTTAGTATCAATTAACATTGGGGGAAATGAGGATATAAATGAAAATTGCCAACAGCAGCATACAGGCTGTTCTTTATTGACTGGGATTCACTTCACATTGGAATGAAAATATTTCAGTTTGTTTCAAGGACAGGACATGCTTTTGGTATTTCAAGTAGTGATGACAGGGATGTTTTCACTGTTGCATAGTTAAAGCAGTCCACTAATTATGTGTGGTAGAGAACTGCTACAACCCCCAGCTCATCAAGTTTTAACCACTTCCACTGCAGCCAAAGTAAAACATGCTTAAGACCCTTGCTGAGTCCTGTCCTTAGACTACCAAATTTAAATTCTATTGTGAGAGCTTGGATTTTTCTGAGGGGGTATCCTGTAAAACTTGTTAGTTTCTCCCAAAATTGTGTTGTCCTGGAGCAAACAGATTTCTTTAAATGAAATTCTAAAGCGTTAAAAAAATGATTAATTAGAATCAATCAGATACTGATGGCTGATTAAGTGGCTGGATTAGGCTGTCATTTTTGCATCTATTTTCCTGAGGCTGCTGTGAGCACAGTATAGTTTTGACACAGCAGTCATAGGTTAAAATTACTGCAATAAACTTTTATTGAACTCTGTTCTATGGTACTTTTATGGTCCCTATCACCATAGTATCTGAGCATCTCATCCATTCAGTTGGTTCCTCAGATATAACCTATTTAACTTGTCTTTTAGTTTTCCCATGAGCAACACTACATAACTGCCTTCCCACTGCGCGCGCGCACACATACACACACACACAAATTTAGGATCGATTTGATGTGATGTGAAGTGTTTTTAAATCACAAGTAAAATTAATTTTGCATTTTTTAAAACAGGTAGCACTGGAGACTCTTCAAGTCTAAACACGACTGAAAATTGCAACTTGTAAAACAGCCATTCTTGCCTATAGTGCCATACAACTGCACTGTGAAAAATGCACATCGCAGTAGTGATGGGATCTCTTATAGTTCCATGTATGCACATTAAAAGCAGAGTTGCTATGTGGCCCATTATGGCTGTGTGTGGGATTTCTTCAACATCTATTCTACTGCCAGTAGAATATGCATGTTTCAGTTATCTTATAAGGACAGACTTGCAACTGGCTTAGGGAAACATATACTTGAAAGGGATATACCTAGAATGTGACGGTTGGGTGTGATGCATTCAGTTAATCAAAAAGTAACTTGCTTTGAAATCCTGTTTTGAATAAGACTAAATCTGGATTCCCAAGTGGAGGAAATAGGCCATAAACCTAAACGTTCATTAAATGATGCATCTGGCTCTACTAATGCTACTGTAGAAATTAATTTACACATTTATATAATTTTTTAAAAATGGAAACTTGTGTATTTACTGAGGATTTTAGAGGCCAGGTGGAAGATAATATTGTTCATTGGACATTATGAGTAAGGGTATTGCAATCTGGCCATAAAGTGTTGTGATTAATATACCTTGTCTTCCATCTGTGCTGGCTGGCTATTTGCTAAAAGGCAGGGGGGGAACTCACCAAGGAATAGTTTTGACGGGGGGGGGGGGGGGGGGAAGCTGTATACCTCTTTGTGGCTTGGCAATGAACAGCAAACATGGCCATGTAATATGCATCTCGCCTCTTTCATCAGTTCCTGGGCCTCACAGGAAGCTCTGGATTCAATTTCAGGAGAAATGTAAAGTTGGTCTTTTACGAGCGTTGGAAACAGAAAATGTCTCCTTCCCTTCTAATCCATACAGTTAAAAAAAATTAAGCTACTAGAACTTGTATCTTTATATTTAACCTAACCACATCTGAAACCTTGTAGTGAGAATCTTCCTGATAAAAAGTAAAAAATGCTGTACATTTCAAGATTTTTTCCAACATTTTAATTCTCAATATTTTAACATCAAAAAGTTACCTTTGCAGATGAGGTTTGCGTTTGACAGCAGTCATATGAATTTAACATAACATCCATATTCAAAAAGTTAATCATTCATCAGTTTTTATCTTAATAGGACCTAATAGTTTATCTTAATGCTAACCAACAAGAACATACTTAAAGAGATTAGGCACTAGTCACTAGAATTTACCAATTTCAGTAATGTCTTTCGAAAGCTTATTTTGAATTTGTAACACAACAGGAACATGTACTCCATAAAACCCTAAACAAAACTAGGTCAAGTAATACAATCATTTATTTTTCTCCAAATTCTAAGTAATGGCTTTGAGAGCTATGAAGCTAAATTCTTTGACTTCTGTACAAGAAGATTTAAAAGCAATATTCAAAAAGCTTACAAACTTGTCATAAAGGTGGCTGTAGGAATCACAATTTTGTTATTCACAGATGGCCCTGAAACTTTCATGTTTTATTCCAATGTGGAACTGTATCTGTGCTGCTCTTTTCGTTCACTGTCATCAGCGTCTGGATACACAGTAAGATCCAGAGTCAGTACCTGACTAAACATGTAATCATCTTGCTGAAAGGAGGAAGAATCAAATCAGTTTACAAGCATATATATTAAAAATAAGCATTACCTATAAGATGATGCAGTTACCAGAAGGACCACTTAACTATAAATCACTTGTTCTGGAATGCTATTAAACAATACCAATGACTATTCCTGAATGGCAAACAATGCATTTGAATCACTTAGCTCTTGATACAGTTGTTAGAGAATTTTTTTTTAAAATGAACATGGGGGGAGGGGTCATTTCTTAAGAAATAATTGGCTGCAGCTGGAATTTTTTTTTATCGTTTAACTGCCATATGAATTTAATTTGATTGAAATCAAGACAGAAAAGAATAAAAATTATTTGTACCTCTGGACAGACTCCAATTAATGCATCTGCTCTGGAATAAAACTCCTCCTTTAGAGAAATAACGATCATCTGACACTGTTCCTGGGCCTGCTCTTTGATGAAGCTTGATACCTTTGAAGAAAAGCCACACATTTTAGGATAAGTGGGTTCTGTCAGATTTAAATCACAATTAATTAGGGAACAATGGGAAAAGAAATGAATTACTCAGTAGACAGAATTCATAAATGAATTGGGCAGGGTAAAAGGGAGACTATAACTGGCCAAGCAAGACACTGTACATGATGTAGGTTCACAGTATGACCCCACAGGTTTGGGGCTTTTAAAAATGTATATGAAAACAATCCACTTTAGAAATGTGACATTTCTAAAGTTAACATAAGGCATTTTACTTGACAATGCTTTTAAGTTAGGTGGATTTCCATGTATAAGCCATAAATTTTACAGCTTGTTACCACTTATATAATATGATGCAGATTACAAATGCATATTACTGTGCTGTTTTATGTGGCAGAAAATGGTTTTCACCAGCTGTAAAATGTTACTGCACAGAGCTAAATTTATAATTTGAGGCAAATGAAAGAGACTTCATACCACAACAGAAGATAAAATCCTAAATGAAAATTAGAAGCAACATTTTTAAATCACACTTCTATGTGTACATTTTTATCTGCTATGTCATAAGTAGGCATAGTTGTTGAAATTATTTTGAACTGAAGATTTTAAAACTTGACTAGTTTTCAACTTTTATAAGGAGTTAGTATTATATGCACTTAAAGTTAAGGAAAGTTTTTTCTTTTAATTTTCAATTTAAAGCCCTCTAGCCTTATTAAAGCAGAAGATCTCCAAGAAGTTGGCACTAACCAGACCTTCCCCAAACTCTTTGGATCCCAATAAGTACTGTATAGATACTAATCTGTTCATATGCTTAAAGTATTTCCAAACATTATTTTCTGTAATTTGAAAACTCAAAACACTGGCAAATATATAAAGGTCCCGTCATTTGAAGGTGTCTCAGGTCTTTCCCATGGCAGGTAAGATCACCATTTACAGTTGAGGAAACTGAAGCAATGAGAAGAGTTTGAGTAGACCTCAATATTGATACAAAATAGTTATTAATGAATTTTACATAATTACAATCTTGACTGCTCTGACTGAATTTTGCAACAATTATTTTCATACATTCGCTTAGAGAATGATAGCTCACATGCTTAGGGTTTAGTGGGTTTTTTGGTTGCTTATTGTATGAAATTATTACACGATTATTCAGGCCCTACCAAATTCATGGTCCACTTTGGTCAATTTCACGGTTATAGGATTTTAAAAATCGCAAATTTCATGATTTCAACTGTTTAAATCTGAAATGTCAGTGTTGTAACTGTAGTGGGCCTGATGCAAAAAGGAGTTGTGGGAAGGTCACAAAGTCATTGTGGGGGGAGTTGCAGTACTGCTACCCTTACTTCTGTGCTACTGCTGGCAGCAGCGGCACAGCCTTCAGAACCAGGCACCTGGAGAGCACTGGCTGCTGGCCAGGATCCCAGCTCTGAAGAGAGAGCCGCCACCAGCAGCAGCGCAGGAGTAAGTATGGCATGGTATGATATTGTCACCCTTTCTTCTGCACTGCTGCTGGTGGGGCGCTGGCCAACAGCCACTGCTCTCCAGCTGCCCAGCTCTGAAGGCAGCTCAGACTTAAGGGTGGCAATACTGCAACTCCTCCCCCCCAAAAATAACCTTGCGACCCCCCTGCGACTTCCTTTTGGGTCAGGACCCCCAATTTGAGAAATGCTGGTCTCCCCCATGAAATCTGTACAGCATAAGGTAAAAAGCACACAAAAGACCACATTTCTAATGCTGGGGACCAGATTGCATGGTCAGTGACGCGTTTTTCATGGCCGTGAATTTTGCAGGGCCCTAACTGTTATTAAAGAAATTCCTAGGAAGTCTCTGCTTTTTGCCAAGTAGTGACAGGCACCAAGTGTCAAAGAGGATGACACTTCATTAGCCATAATTCCATATTTACCTCCCAGTAAGTTTACACTAACTGTGGAATGCAGTTTAACTTCCGTTTTGCTTTAATAAATATGCTACATTATTTTCTTTTATGCTACATTTTCAAACTTGTATAGAACTGTTATTGTGACTGCTGCTTTGCAGAGAATATTTGATATTTAATTGAAAGCTGTAAAATGTACTACAAATGATAAGTTGTAAATCTAGGAACTATTAGATCAAAAGGCAAACAACCAATGAGCCTCTTCTCAAAGTACAGGACACTGCTCTGGTATACACATGATCTTTATCACAAGAAAACAAACTTAGTCAACCACATCTCTTTCTAAAATTTTACAAAGAGAATGTGAGGATGTTTTCTATGCAGGATATTCCAAAGAGGAGTGATGCCTAGGATGTGGTGCTATAGCTATAAACAAAGTCATAAAGTAGATCTATTTACCCCTCCTCTTTCATTTTAAACTCTCACAAAGAATTCTAAAAATATCCCTATTGACACAGATTTCTTTTACAAACAAGCTAAAGACTTTATTCTTCAAGAGGAGAACATTTATGGTTGGGATGTGTTTTACAGAAGATATCGAATACTTCTAACACCTCTCCTTTGAAACCTTTTTTTTTTTTTGTCTCAAATGCCTAAAATAGTTTTAGCTTCTTAAGATTTGTATTTGCAAACCTTCATAGAATATGAAAGGGTAAATCATTGTTATAGCCAAGAATAAAAGATCTTAGGTATATTTAATTAATATTTATATTTCACCTCTATATCCTAATGTGTAAAGTGCTGATGTTATGGAAACTATGCAACAATAGACTGGAAAATATGCTGCAATGTTCCAGTTAATATCGCAAGATGCCAGACAGTAACATTTCAGGGGGATTCTTTAATAACCTCAAGTTGCTACAGTAACTTAGTTAATGAGAATAAAGATAACTAAGGTGTTAGCCTATGAAAAAACAAGACACCCTGAAATTAGTGGAGTGTGGAAACCCACATAAGGAAAAGGGGCTGAAACCCTTATACATGGAACAGAGGGCATCAGCATAACACATTATAAAGGCTGTATCCTCGCCTTAGTGCCTTGGGGGAAGGAGACGCCAGGATGGCAATCACTGGTGACTATGACAGTGAAGAGAATAATGGTTCACACTTCATCCCTACCAGGAAATGTAAGTGATACCAGTATTAAGACTAGACATGCTATGTTATACCTTTCTTGCCTGTTACAGTGTTTTTGATATCAGGTTAGTAAGATTTTAATAGGACAGTTGAGAATTTGTAAGTACATCAGCTGTGATCATTGTTTCCCATGTGTTCCTAGAGTCTCCAAGGCTAACGATATTCCTAATGATGAATCTCACCCTGCTAATCCTGATACTGTAGTCATTTAGGAGGCTGAACTCTTCACCCAGGTCACTATGATTAATATAAAACCAATCAATATATTAATCCAGAAATTAATAAGGCTACATCTTGTAGTAACTTGAGTTCTTCAAGATATGTTGTCCCTATGTGTAGTGCACTTCAGGTTGTGCATGTGCTCCAAGTACTCAGGATCAGAAATTTTCCCCTAGCAGTGTGTGTGGTTTGTGCGTGCTCTCCGGCTCTCCTCATGTTCCACACCAAATGGAGAAAGGGGGCTGCTGGATTGCTGCCATTGTTGTT